CAGTGGAATCACTCAAAACAGAATGAGATGAAATTGTTTTTAATTATGAATGCATCATTGCGTGTTGGACGAGTTAGGTTAAATGTAAATATTACAAGAAATCCACTGTCGTTCACTGATGTTTGTGACAACTGCAGGTGGCAAATTTATAAACAATTTTACATTGTGCCATTTTCATACATCTTGCTTCTAGAGCATGTTTGATTTAGTTTACCCCAAAGTGTTAATTAATACATTAACTAACATGCAGGAACTAACATGTAATTAAGTGTTATTCATGCAGTAGTTCATATGACTCATGTCGTAGTTAGGTTAGTTCTTCATTAGTTCTTGATTAATACATATCTTAACTCATCATTAGTTCATAGTCAAGCAATTATTAATTCAGGTATTAGTACATGATAATTAATGTACTGTTATTGTAAAGTGTTACCGGTTTCTTTTATGAAATGAGTAAACTTTGGGCCACACTCCAACACTGAAGGTGGCGATAATGCACCTTAACGCTGGTGCTACCCACCATAAAACAGAAGAAGAAGAAGAATCAAACATCACTATTCAAGAATCAGCTACGGGAAATAGGTATAGTAGAGTTTAATGTTAAAAATATAGAAACATGGAAATAGTGACCAAGGACGGAGATATTTGTTTAATTTTCTAAGGAGGACTGGACTGGAAGGACGAATTTAATTAAGATATAGTAAGTTAAAGTGAGACAGCAGAAGGCAGTAATGCAACACTATGGATGCCATCTGCCGTAAAACTCCAATGAAGAAGAAGACAAACATCACTATTGTGATGCACATTTGTGTTAGGGACTGTTGACTGTGGAATTGTTACACTGGAGAAATGGTGAGTGGTTTCTTTAATTGCTATTCACATATGCTAATATGATATTATAATACCAATATGCACTGTGGCCTGGCCCCATGTTAGCAAATTAATCAGGTACATGTGTTAGCCAGGTACATGTGAACCAGCCATCTTGCCAGCTGAGATTAGTTAAGTTAATTAGTTAATTAGTTAAGCCAGGAACACACTACATAACTGTAAGGCTGATTATGAATGTAATTTGATACTTAAAAGTGATCACACCCAAATGTGT